TTTTATTATAACACACAAAAATGTCTGGAAATTCCTTTGTCCATTTATTTTAACTTTCCAATACATTTCAGACAATTATGCAGTAATATATTTCACTGCAAGCTTCTTTGAGTCCCAACTTCTTAGTTATATAATTATAAATGAAAATATTTTAAACCCTATTGGAATAACCAGTGAAAACAAGCTCTAAACAACATTCTTTAAAAAAAAATTACCCAGCTACTCCAAAAGAAAGAAGTTTCCCCACCTGACAGAAAAGCAATTTTCCATTGCATTTGGAATGCAATTCACTTGTTAGTGACTCAATCTCTATAATCCTGTTGCCAGCCATATTGGAAGGGGAGCAGAATCCATGCTCCAGCCTCTATTCCAAATAGGCTAAGGAGGAGAGAAAACCCAGGAGGGAGCATTTGGGATGTTGGAAGAAGAAAAACAACATTGAAGGTTCAAGGGGGAAAAGTGGGGGAGAATGAAAAGAAGAGGATAAATAAGAGGGAAAATGGGGGTCCATGAGAGACACTCATGCTCGCTCACAGTCCCACATGACGTTTTCTTAAGCAAACTAGGGAAATGTGGTTTGGATGAAATTACTATAAGGTGGATGCACAAGTGATTGAAAATACAAAAAGTCGTTATCTGTCCTACTGGGAGAAAGTATCTAGTGGGGTCTCACAGGGGCCTGTTCGGGGTCTGGTGCTATTCAGTATTTTCATTAATGACAGATAATGAAGTGGAGAGTATTCTTATAAAATGTGCGGATGACACCAAGCTGGGAGTGGTTGCTAGCACTTCGGAGAACAGGATTAAAATTCAACAAGATGAAATTCAGTAAAGACAAGTGCAAAGTACTACATTAAGGAAGGAAAAATCAAAAGCACAATTACAAAATGGGGAATGACTGGCTAGGCAGTAGTACTGCTGAAAAGGATCTGGGGGTTATAATGTATCACAAACTGAATATGAGTCAACAATGTGATGCAGACATTCTGTGGTATATTAACATGAGTGTTGTATGTAAGACGCGGGAGGTAATTGTTCTGCTCTACTCAGCACTGGTGAGGCCTCAGCTGAAATACCGTGTCCAGCTCTGGGACCACACTTCAAGACAGATGTGAACAAATTGGAGAGAGGAGATCAACAAAATAAGAGGTTTACAAAGCAAGACCTATTAGGAAAGATAAAAGAATTGGGCAGGCTTAGTCTAAAGAAAAGAAAAGAAGACTGAAGGGGAGACCTGATAGCATTCAAATGTGTAAGAGGTTGTTATAAAGAGAACAGTGATCAATTGTTCTCCATGACCACTGAGGATAGGACAAGAAGTAATCAGCTCAGTTTACAACATGGGAGATTTAGGTTAGATTTGAGGAAAAGTAAGGATAGTTAAGCTCCAGAACAGGTTGCCAGGGGATGTGGTGGAATCCTTGTCATTGGCGGTTTTGAAGAACAGTCTTTTAAATAGACAGAGATGATCTAGGTATATTTAATTTTGCCTCAGTATTGGGTGGGAGGTGAACGTTGAGGATCCCTTCCAACCCTACATTAGAATAAGATCCACATTAGGAAAGTGTGAGAACCCCCTGACTTGTATCTTTATCCTCAAAAATGGAAGGAAGTCTTCATCTGCCAAAACCCAGCACATTTTTAGTTCCCAAACCACAGTTTTCATGAATGTGTGAGGATTTTTTTTCAAGCAGTTGTAATTTTTTAGCAAAGTTCTGTATCATGTGAGGGAAACTGAATTGCCTGAAACTGGGATAGCTAGGGGGAATTCAAAGGAATCCAAAAGAGAAAGAAGAATAGGTTGAGGAACTTCCTAAGTCAATAAATGATGCCAGAAAAAAGACAAACAGTGTCACTGGTAAATTCTTGGGCATAAAAGAGAGAAGACAAAGTTAGTAGTTTTCAGAATTTGTTGGCTTTATTTTTGTAAGGTGCTCAGATAGCACAACATAAGTACCTAGATGGATAGATGCAGTAAAAGTTAATAAAGAATTTTCTGCTTATGCTACAGTATATAGAAGACCTTTATTGCTACTAAAAATAACATTTATAGGCATTTAAAAGGGAACCAATAACTATGATCAATACTTCCCATGCATGGCTCAGTTTGTTGTTTTTATCTTTGTCTTTAATGGTTCCCTGTACTGTTGGGGGATTTTGGGGGGCGGGGACGGAAGAAGGGGGTGATTTAGTGTGGACTATCAAATTTATCTTCTCTTTAATTTATCTTCCACCCATCCTTTTGGGTTTTATTATTGCAATGGAATAAACTTAAGCATTTGGTGGACAACTGAATAAACAGTAGCATGGTTCATCTTTAGTCCCTTTCAAGAGCACATGGGTCACATTCCCTGTGACTGTCATTTTATGTTTTCAGATTTTTCTTTGCCTCCCATTTAATCTCATGATACATAGTGTATCTTCTGGTACGTACATAGTGTGTTCAGATTTCCCTAAGTCTTGTAATGACTGACTTCACCTACTTGTAATTCTTTCTCATTGGTATATTTCATCATTTTTATTGCTGGGTTTTTCAAAGGTCTCCAAAACATCCTTATCATGCATTGAGAACTGCCTGGGCAGAACCCTGAGTCCATTAGAAGCTCTCCTGACTTCAGCTGCGTGCCAGGGTTTCATGTGGGTAGACTTCTGCAGCTACATGTTTCTCAGTACAGTGTCAGAGAGCTGTAGTATGTTCACTTTGGGAATATGTAAAGTACATCAATTTGAATAACACTTTTTTGTAATGGAACCATTCCGTGCACAAGAAATACTCATTACTTAATAGCACTGCAAGCTGGGAACGTGCTGCTTTAGTCAACTACATGACAGACAGAGCAGGGAGGAACAGACACGTTAGCTAAAGAGGAAGTAAGGGAGGGCTAGATCATAGCTGCAACTCATAATGTTCTAAATAGCCCTTGATGATCACTAGACTACATAATTCCCATTTTAATTTACAGCCCAGATATAATATTTTAAATAACCAGGGGCTATTCTTTCTCTCTCGTGGAGTAATGCATCTCCGCGACAGCTGGGGCCGCCTCCATGGTCATGGCATGAACCTGATCCTGACATCTTGTGATTCCACCACTACTTAAATAGACTTTAAAGACAAGAGTCCAGTTTGCTCTGAGATAGTACCCAGAATCCATGTGGGCTGGCGAGTATTGAAACAGTTTAGTTTTAATTCTTGCAACCAGTCTCAGCCTCCCAGGTTTTGCCTTTGTCCCTTGACCACTAGGACTGGTAAATTTTTCTTTTGGCTTTTATATTTTACAGGGTCAAGCACAGCATCTACCTCCTTGGTGGGTTCTCTGCTGTAGGCACTCAGGGTCATTCTTGCATTCACTATCAGGCTCAGTTCTGCTTTGCATTGCTGATATGTTTATAGATTCATTGATCGCAGTAGCTGAAACTCCTGTATTTAACTCTGTTACTTTGTAAGGTCCCACATTTTCCCTTTTAGACAATACATAGTGTGTACCTCCTTTGTGTCTTCCTTCCCCACAAGGTAACAAGCTTTCTGCTTTCTTCCGTTTGCTCTGTTTTTTTAGTCTACCCGTTCTGGGCTTGAGATGCTGTTTGCTTTGCATCATCTGGCTGAGTGTCCAATCTTGAGGCACTTATGGCATTGGGCTGTTTTAAATTTACAGACAGATTCAAAATGAGCTCCTTTGCAGCAGAACACCCCTCAGGAGTCCCTTGCAGCTGGCTTTGCATTTTGCTTATTGAATCAGCTTGATTGTCCCTGCATTCTAAGTGCAAATCTCGTAAGCTTTTCACTGCTTCCATTGCTGTTGCTAATTCTGCTGCTTTGGGCCAGGTTAAGTTCCCCTCTGACAGCAGTTGTCTTTGTTAATTCAAAGACAATGATTATTATTGATACCACAAACAAATCTGTCCCACAGCATGTCCTCTAGGATGCTTCCAAATTAGCAGTATTCCATTAGTCTTTTTAGCTGTGACACACACACAGGTACACTTTCACCTTGCCACCTCATTCTAGTATGAAACTTGAAACATTCTGTAATAATGGTTGGCTTTGGTGTGTAGTACTCTGCTAAAATCTTTTGAAGGTCATGCAAACTCTTATCTCCTGGTTTTTGAGGTTGTAACAAACTCCTTAAGAGAGAGTGGGTTTTACTATCAGACACTGAGGAAAATTGCTTTCTGTTTTATCCTTATCTGTAATCTCATTTGCAAGAACATAGTGGCCCAGTCTTCCAATATATTGCTGCCAATCTTCATTTTCTGAATTAAACTCCTCAGTTTTCCCATGAATTACCATTTTTATGTTCTTCCTCGTCGCCAGTTTTGTGAAGAGACCCACTCAGTGCATAAGAAACACACTTTAGTTGCAGTGCTGCAGTCTGGGAACCTGCTGCTGTATTCAGCTATATAACAAACAGTGGGAGAAAACGTGCCCTAACAAAACAAAGTAAGGGGAGGAGGTGGAGCATGGCTCCAACCTCTAGTATTTTGAGTATCCCAATTAAGCCTTTGATAATCACATTACTACACAATTATATCTGATACAATAACTATATCCTTTGAGTACAATAGCATTTTAAGATGGAAAATTTGCAAGCTGAATCACTGAAGCCATTAAAAATATATCCTATGTATATAAAATATGCTTGTCATAAAACTATGGGGAAAATCAGAATCAGAAAATGGTATTTTCTTTTTAATTATTTCAACTTTTTTAGAAAATTTACCAGGTAATATACAGACAGTCTCAGCACATTATCATATTGTTATTGTATGCCAACCTGCGCTAGTAAAGAACAGTTGCATTTTCTTTGGGCTCAAGGTTAATTAGCATTATTAGTGTCAAATAAAATCAAAGCAGAAACTATACTGAAGATAAAACTGAAAACAAAAAAGCTGGATAGGTGTAAATTTATTACTTTCCTATTTTGTGCAATATTGCCTTTGTTTTTCACACATTGCTTTACCAAATAATAAATTGGGTTTGAAAATGTATATTTTTGCAGTCCATAGAAACCCATCTGATCCGGAAATCTAGTGGTGGTCTGACGTACATTGCTGAGTGGAAAGGTGGCCTGCTCGAACATAAAATGGGACATCTGACCTGTTTTGCTGGAGGCATGTTTGCACTGGGTGGAGATGGTGCACCTAATGATAAAACTGGGCGTCATATTGAACTTGGTGCTGAAATTGCTCGCACGTGTCATGAATCTTATGATCGTACAAGTAAGTACGAATTATTAATTTTGAGAGATTAGCTGTGCTTTAATCATTATCTATAATTCTGTCCTGGGTAAAACAGGTGCAGAAGGTATTGTATGGTGCTCTGTTAAATTAATATAGAGTCCTTTTTGTTCCCTCATTGAAACTGTTGTTTTGCTCTGAATAGTGACTCTAAAAATGGTTCCTCATTGTCAACAGATATGCTATCTGTGTCTATTGCATCATATCTGCTTTCATTCGTGACAAAAATATTTTTGCTCCCTCTAGCTCTGTTGAGCCCACCACAAATGAAATGGATTCTATTTATTTGTGCATACATAGAACTATTAATAATGTTCTAAATACAAGGACAAATTCTGCTCCGAGTTCTTCCTGTGTCACATTTAGACAATAGGGTTACACAAAGATGACTGAATGCAGAATTTGTCCTTCAAGATCATTCTTAAAGTTGCTGAAGCAAGAAGTTGAAAGAACCCAGCCACGGTGAATTTGCCAGAGCGAACTGGAAAAAAATCATAGTCACAATACACATGAAATATCCCATAATGCAAGTTTTACAGTTACTCTTTGGAGTAAAACTGCAATTTAAAGCATTGATACAGCATATCCCTTTTGCACCAGCTATTGGGATTTCCCAGATATGACAATTATGAGGAGGAGTTTGGACACTCATAGACTCATAGACTTTAAGGTCAGAAGGGACCAATATGGTCATCTAGTCTGACCTCCCGCATGATGCAGGCCACAAAAGCTGACCCCCCCACTTTCCCTTAACTCTGCTGTTGAAGTCTCCAGATCGTGATCTAAAGACTTCAAGTTGCAGAGAATCCTCCAGCTTGCGACCCCTGCCCTATGCTGCGGAGGAAGGCGAAAAACCTCCAGGGCCACTGCCAGTCTACCCTGGAGGAAAATTCCTTCCCGACCCCAAATATGGCGATCAGCAAAACCCCGAGCATACAGCCATAGCTAAAGTGCAGACTACATGTGTAATATCGTTAACTTCATATGAAAGTATGATTAATGTTTAGTAATCTACATAAATTGTCATGGTTTGTGCCTGAAAAGGAGCATTTGTAGGTTTTAATACTATATTTACTGTGAAAAAACACTCAAACAATTGGAAAATGTACAGTTAAAATCCTGCATACAGAATCATCACTAACATTGTTACACATTTTATTTTTATTGTCTAGATATGAAACTGGGACCAGAAGCTTTCAGATTCGATGGAGGTGTAGAGGCCATTGCTACAAGGCAAAATGAGAAATATTACATCTTGCGACCTGAAGTTATAGAGACCTACATGTATATGTGGAGGTTCACTCACGATCCAAAATACAGACAGTGGGGATGGGAAGCAGTAGAGGTAACACATTTTGTGGGATTGTCTGGTGGGTTTTTGGTTTGTTTGTTTGAGAGAGAGTTTTCCTATTACAGCTTAATATCTTGGTAAATTATTTACTTTTCCGACTATTCAGTAACAGTAAATGTGTTCATTTTGTGATTTGTTTGTCTAAAACAACAGGTGATGCAGTAAAATACTCTCTGGAGATTAAGATGAAATCAGATCATTTTGGCTTTGGCTAAATCTAGTCTTCCCAGTGATCTACATCAGTAAAACACCTCACAGTTTTTCATTAGTTACCTCTTAGGCCAGAAATTCTGCAGGTCTGTACCAGGTGCACAGTCAGGGCTTATTGGGGAAATCTGAGCAGTGTCAGCTGAATGACCGCTAATATGCACTAAAATTGATTTATAGGGGAAAATTTACATTGTTAAATTTTTAGCAAAATATGTTGTGTCAGGGATATTTAATTATTGCATTTTGATGACACAGTGAATAGGTTTCTTAAAGTAAATTTTGGCCAAGATTTCAAGTGACCAGAGATTTTTGATAGACAATTTTAGAAGTCTCAAAACTTAAGTCACTTTTGAAAATCTTGGCCTTAATTCATATTGTTTAAGGCCACAAGTAACCATTAGATCATCTAGTCTTACCCCCTACATGTTACAGGCCACTATGTTTCACAGTTACCCCTGTATTGAGTCAAATAACTTTTGACTAAACCATAATTTGAGTTGGGTTTTAGCATCTCTTCCAGAAAGGCATCAGTCTTGATATGAAGACATCGAGAGATAGAGAATCCACCACTTCCCTTGTTAGTTTGTTCCAAAAACCAGTACTCATCCTCATGTCTGTCACTGTAATGCATCTTCTCCGGTTCTCAAATTGTTTTTGTGGCTCTATTCTACTGTCTCTCCTGTTTTTCAACATCCTTTCTAAAATGTGAACATCAGAATTGTATTCCTTATTCCAGTATCAGTCTCACCATTGCCGTATACAGAGGTAAAATCTATTCTTAACTCCTACTCTTTATTAACCTGTTTATACATCCAAGGATCACATTAGCCCCTGGTAGCCACAGCATCTCACTGGGAGTGCTTGTTGCGCTGTTTTCCACTATGACCCCTAGATACTTTTCAGAGTCACTGCTTTCCAGGATATAGTCCTTGTTCCTGGATTATTATTTTTGTATTTGGCTGTATTAAAACACGTTTTGTTTGAATGGGCCCAGTTTACCAAGCAATCCAGATCGCTCAGTATTGCTGCCCTGTCTACTCATCATCATTTATCCTTCCACCACTCTTTTCTCTCATCCACAGATTTTATCAGCAGTGATTTTACATTTACTTCCAGGTCATTCAGGAAAACAGAATCAGACCTAGTTCTTCAGAAACTCAGTAGAAACACCCCCATTTAGTGTTGATTCCCTGGTTATGATTACTTTCTGAGATCTGTCAGTTAGCCAGCTCATAATTCATTTAACATGTGCTTTTTAGATATTGTGTAGTTTTGATTTTTTTTAATCCGAGTGTCATGTAGTACTAAGTCAAACATTTTACAAAAATCTAAGTGTATTACATCTACATAGTTACTTTGTCACCCAAACTAGTAATCTCATCTAAGAATGAAATCAAGTTTGTTTGACAAAACTTATTTTCCATAAAACCATGGCATTCATTATATTCCTATCCTCTAATTCTTTTATCAGTTGAACCCCTTATCAGTGTTTTCCTTATTTTGCCTGAGATTGATGTCTAGGCAAGAGGCCTATTGTTACCTGGGTCATGCCACTTACCTTTTTTGAATAGTGGCACAATGTTAGAACTCTTCCAGTTTTGTGGCATTTTTCTGGTATTCCAAGATTTATTAAAAATTAACTCAATGGGCCAGAGATCTCCTCAGCCAGCTCTTTTAGGACTTTTGGGTGAAGTTATTCTGAACTGCAGATTTTAAAATGTGTATCCCTGTTGTTTAACATCCTCCTTGGTTATATTGTACTGGAAACATTTTTCACCATCCTTGTGTGATACAAATTATGTCATACCTTTCCAGATACAGAATAGAAATATTTGCTGAAGAGTCTGCCTTTCTGTATTAGTCAGTTAGTTAGTTAGATTTTATTTATTTATTTATTTATTTATTTATTTAAACAATTTTACCATCTCCATCTAAAAATGGGCCTATACAGTGCTAGGATTTATTTGTTCGAATATACTTTAAAAATTCCGTTTTACTGTCCTGAGCTCTGCCATATCTGCGTCCCACATCAGTTTAAATAATAACTCATCCTGGTCCGTAGTTTGATTTCGTGGTCTGTAACAGATTCATTACCTCCTCCTGACTTTCTTAGTTAGCATTTTGATCCATATGCATTGTAGATCCTGCAGGTATGAGTTATCAGTAATTCTAAAACAAGTAATGATGTCTTTAATATAGAGTGCCACCCCCACCTTCACCTCTGTTACCCATTCTAGCCTTCCTAAACAGTTTATGGCAAGAGATTTTAACATTCAAATTATGCAGCTCATCCCATCAGGTTTCAGTAATGCTTATTATATCGAGTTTCTACTCATAAATGAGAATTTCCAGTTACTCTTGTTTATTACCAAGACTCCTAGCATTGGTATATAAATAATTGAAAAATGTATTCACTTCACATTCTTTGCTACATTAAACCAATTTGTTTGAAACATGGTGATAATTTGCCTTCTTATCACCTGCTCCCCTTGTGTTACATGCTTAACTTCCTCCTGGCTGCTCCAGCTAATCTCCAACTGAGATGATTTCCCTCTGCCCCCCACCATCTGTGAGATGCAGGCCATTCCATTCCTACTATCCCTTCTCCCACTGAAATGTGGTCCAGCATTCCACAAAACAAACACCTTCAGCTTCACACCAATCACACAACCAATGGTTCACCTTCCCTATTTTCTGCCTTCTGTCTTCTCTCACTCGTGGGGCTGGAAGGATCTTTGAGAAGATCACTTGGACATTCTTCTTCTCCAGCTCTCTTTCAAGATCCCTGAAGTCTGCTACATTCTGTGTAGTTCCACTTGATGCTGTGTCATTGGTTCCACTGGTGTATCATCACATGTTGAGACTTGCCAGACAACTTCATAATCCTGCCCATTCTTGCCATTTTGCTCCAAGGAAACAGCACATCGTCCTGTTATCTTTGAGTGTTTTGCTGAATTCTCTATCCACTCTTCTTAATATGGAGTCTTTAATCGTTCCCTTCCAGTGGGTAACTTAATTTTAACAAGGTAGTCTCCAGGATCTCCCTCCAGCACATCAGTGTACTTTTCCATGAATGGGAAACAGCCTGGAAGATATCAGGACTTGGAGAAGAATAGAAAGGGAAATCAATCTGATTTATCTCTCATGCTTAATTTAATCTGCCTTCAAAAATGTTTTGGCTGTCTTTGTTTACAAGTATCCTAGAAAATTGTTCCCCACTGATAAAAAGAACGGATCTGAAGACTCCATTTCACATCTTCTCCCACAAATATGTTTACTGAAGCCTTATTTTTAGTCTTTAACCTCTAGCACTCTGACAACAGGCAAGAATGAGTTAGATTTATTTTCTATCATTCCTGTAGTTAGGAAATAGATTCTTTAAACTTTCTCACAAGTTTCAAAAATCTCAAGATGTATGCAGCATGTGAGTTTTACTTTTCTTTTCAATGCTGCTCAAGCTTTGGCTGGCTACCTGCACTTTCTTATCCATGATCTTTTTGGGAGCTTCCTTCTCTAGCCTTTGTCTTCATCTAGTAGTAGTGCTGGTAGTGTTCTCTTCTTTAGTGTTAGGATGAAAATAATTAACATCACTATAGATACCTGATAAGTTACCGCATAATGTGAAGATTCACCAGCTCAATACATGGAGAAGCTCTCTCTGTCTCTATTACATATTCAATATAAGTTCTAGATTCATAGAGTCCAAAGCCAGAAGGGACCATTCTGATCATCTAGCCTGACCTTATGTAGGGATACAGGTCATTGGACTTCCCTGGATTAATTCTTGTTTGAACTAGAGCAAAAACATCCAATCTTGATTTAAAAATTTTCAGTGATGGAGAATCCATCACAACCCTTGGTAAGTTGTTCCAGTGGTTAATTACCCTCACTGGTAAAAAAAAATTTAATCTTATTTCTGAAGTTGTCCAGCTTCAACTTCCAGCCATTGTAACTCATTCTGCCTTAGTCTTCTAGACTGAAGAGCCCTCTATTATCAAATATTTCTTCCTATAGATTTTGTCTATATAAGCTCTGATATGTTGTGATTAAGTCAACCCTTAGCCTTCTTTGCCTGTAAGACATGTTTTCCATTCCTTTAACCATTCTTGTGGCTCTTCTCTGCACCTTTTCAAAGTTGCAAATATCCTCCTTGAATTGTGGACACCAGAACTAGATCTACTATTCCAGTAGTGGTTGTACCAGTGCCCAAATGCAGAGGTAAGATAACCTTCCTTCTTCTCTTCCTCATTACTCCCCTGTTTAAATATGCAAGGATCACATTAGCTCTTTCCCACAGCATTGCACTGAAACCTATGTTCAGCTAATTTTCCCCCACAGTCTTCAAACCTTTGTCAGAGTCACTGCTTCCCAGGATAGAATCCCTCATCCGATAAGTATGGCCTACTTTCTTTGTTCCTGGATGTATACATTTTCATTTGGCCATATTAAAATACATATAATTTGCTTGCACCCATCTTACCAAGCGATCTAGATTGCTCTGTGTCAGTTGACCTGCCTTCTTCATTATTTACTACTTCCCCTATCTTGGTATCCTCTGAAAACTTTACCAGTAACGATTTTGTTTTCTTCCAGGTCTATGATAGTGACTTTAAAAAGCATAGCACCAAAAACCAATCCCTGCAGGATCCCACTACAAAAACATCCATATGATGATGAGGATTCCTCATTTACAATTACATTTTGAGACCCATCAGTTACCCAGCTTTTTAATCATTTGATGTGTCTCATGGCTGTCTTTAAGTAATCCCATGCTTATCTCAAAT